GCTGTAATTGGAGAGACCATTGGAGAACCATTGAAAGATACTTCAGGACCTTCGTTGAACATCCTGATCAAGCTCATGGTTGTTGAGTCTCTTATCTTTGCTCCCTTCTTTGCCACTCATGGTGGTATCCTCTTCAAGTACCTCTAAACTCAACCCTGAGTGAAGAAAGATGATAATGAAGATGGATTCAAAACTCTCTTTTTTAGCATTCTTGTTTTCCTTTTTGCATAGGTGGTTATTGTTGTTGTTGATGAGACTCTCATTTATAGAACCAAACCAAATGATGTTTCACTAAAATAATCATGTAACCAAGAATTTGCTAAGAAATGGTAGAAGAGTTATGTTTTTAACATCCAAGAATTTACTATAAGAGACAATCAAAGTATCTACCAATAATCCACACTTATACTAATGTATCTTAGCTTTGTCTCTTAAGCTTCAAATATTAATAAAAAATGTTAAGAGACTTAATTTTTGTCCCAGCAATAATGTTGCTCTTATGGGTCAATCATCATATGTCATATAAATACCATTGTTAAAAAGTTAAATTCCGACCACAAATAGTTACTGTAATATCCAAACTTTTTAAGATAATAAATCCACCTACCTTAACCTCCAAAACTGTTATCAAATAGTATGAGCATAATAGTTTTTTCTATTGTAGAAATTACTAAAAAGATAGTGAAAATGGGTTCTTTGGTAACAAAGTTTCAGAAAATGGGTTATTTTATAACTCATCCTCCACCTGAACAATCTAAGCAAAATCTAAATTATAACCATAATTACCGTAAAGTTGGTCTAAACATAAACGTTTCCAACATAACTCAACAAGGTTGTACATATCTCACTCTCACCAAACAAAAAAATATAAAAGAAAACTTTCCTTTTTCGTGATTAGTAGTCTTCAATCAAAAAGAAAAAAAAAAGTAGAACTTGAATCTATGTGAAAACATTAACTAATGGGAATATTTATACACCTGATAATACACCCACGGATGTATCATATTCGTTCTTCCATGTATATTACTGAGGTAAAGTAAACTTTAAGTTTGCCGTCATCTTGTAGTGTATGCTGATTAGATTATTGACTTATGCATGATTAGATCATTCGTTGTTGACGGTATACGTACATAGCTGGTGAGATTACGCAAAAAATGTAGACAACATATCACATTATGAAACAATAATGATGAAGCCAATTACATGTTTAAATTCAAACTAATTAATATCAAAAGGTTTTGAACCGTTACATGAAAAGTAATTAAGGATATCAAATCTGAGTACAAAACTACTAAAGATTAAAGATCGCCACCCAATTTAATAACATTCATATACATTAGAGTCTTCATTGGTCACGCAATAAATATTAAAATAAGACCGTTGATATGAGTTAAAATTGGAAAATAATCGGACACACTCTTCGTGGAAAGAGACGTGGAAATTTTCCAAGAATTTCTTTTGTCATCTCCCTACTTTTTTTTTATTTATTTTACTTTTGCCATTTCAAGGGTCATTTTCATACACACATCCATTGAATTAAGACAATGAGATCTTAAGTGTTAAGAGGACTAGTTATGTCTTTTAACCCCAACTGAAACCTTCTTCCTTAAGCTTCTCTTCTTCTTTAAATATCTCTTTAACCTCTTCAGTTTCACTCTATTCATCTACAAGAAACACAGTAGAAACAGAGAAGAAAACCAGAGTGAAAAAAACAGAGTAAAAACAGAGCGAAAACAGAGTGAAAAACAGAGAGATACGATGTTTTTCTCAAAGGATCTTCCCTCACCTACAACGATTTTCACAGCATACGCATCAATGGCTGGCTACATGATGATGATACGATCAATGGCTCACGAGCTCATCCCAGCTCCAATCCAAGACTTCATCTACTCTTCTCTCCGGTCCCTCTTCAACCGCTCTTCCTCCACGACTCTGACTCTAACCATCGACGACGACAACATGGGCATGAGCAACGAGATCTACCGAGCAGCACAGACTTACCTCTCCACCAAGATCAGTCCCGACGCCATCAGGCTCAGAATCAGCAAAGGCCACAAAGACAAACACGTCAACTTGTTCCTCAGCGACGGTGAAATCGTCAACGACGTGTACCAAGACGTGGAACTTAAATGGATATTTGTAACAGACGGCGGAGACAAGAAAGGCGGCGGCGGAGGAGGAGGAGGCGGAGGAGGAGGGAGGAGAGGCGGAGGCGGTGGAGGGAGGAGAAGCCCTGTCGACGACGACGGTAAAAGCGAGTACTTCGAGCTGAGTTTCGACAAGAAACATAAAGACTTTATCTTAAACTCTTACATCCCTTACATAGAGACCAAAGCTAAAGAGATCAGAGACTCGAGACGAATCTTGATGCTGCACTCTCTCAACTCTCTGCGATGGGAATCGGTTATCCTCGAGCATCCTTCCACGTTCGAGACGATGGCTATGGAAGACGAGCTCAAGCGTGACGTCATCGCGGATCTTGATAGGTTTATAAGGAGGAAAGATTTTTACAAGAGGGTTGGGAAAGCGTGGAAGAGGGGTTACTTGCTGTATGGGCCACCTGGTACCGGGAAGTCTAGTCTTGTTGCAGCTATGGCTAATTATCTCAAGTTTGATGTCTATGATCTTCAGCTGGCTAGTGTGATGCGTGACTCTGACCTAAGGAGGCTCTTGCTAGCGACACGTAACCGGTCGATTCTTGTCATTGAAGATATTGATTGTGCGGCGGATTTGCCTAATAGAGTGGAACAACAGCCTGGTGAAGGCAAGAACCGTGGCGAATCTCAGGTTTGGTTCTGTTTAACCAAATCAAACCGAACCGGTCTGATTAGCCTAGAGAATTTTAGTGTATTTAATTTAAATTGGTATTTTTTTGTGGTTATTAGGGACCTTTGACGTTATCAGGGCTGTTGAATTTTATAGACGGGTTATGGTCAAGTTGTGGAGACGAGAGGATTATAATATTCACAACGAACCATAAAGATAGGCTTGACCCGGCTTTACTACGTCCGGGTCGTATGGATATGCACATTTACATGGGACATTGTACTTTCCAAGGATTCAAGACTTTAGCCTCTAACTATTTGGGCTTGAGTGACACCACAATGCCACACCGTCTTTACCCGGAGATAGAGAGACTGATGGAAGGGGATGTGATTACGCCGGCACAAGTGGCAGAGGAGCTGATGAAAAGTGAGGATGCTGACTTGGCGCTTGAGGGTTTGGTGAGTGTTTTGGAGAAGATGAGGTTTAAAGCTGATGAATCGAGTCAGGTGATGATGAAGAAGGAGGGTAGATTGGAGATGGGTGAGATGACATTAAAGGGTGATAAAGAGGGTTCTCCGAGGAAGAATAGCAAAAGGATTAAGAAACTTGTTCTGTTTTGGACCTAAGACAGTGTGTTTAGAAACTCCTGTGATCCGGTGTTAGTTCAAATAAGAAAAAGGATTATGAGTAAGACATAAATAGACTGAAGAGCCTTACTGTTGTAAGTGTTAACAAGAAGTTTGGAAATCTCTGATGATATAAATTAAGTGTTTTAAAAATTTCCTTACATATTTAAGGTTGTGAATCCTTGTAGACCCATTAAGTAATATGGAATCTTCATAGAAATGGCTGATATGGTCTATAGAGGTACATTATAAGAATGTTATCCGATGCACATTATTGATTTAGCTAATATGAAAAGAGTGTTTGAATGTTAAAGCGAGGAGTGGAGAGTCAAAGAAAGAGACTAATCCACAACCACAAAGCATTTATACAGCATTTGTTTTTCTAAATAAAGTGTGATTCCCTTTGATCATTAAAACGGAAGATCATGTGTTAGTGCTTGAGTAATCAATTTTAACATACTTTGTCTCTTTAATCAGAATTTTAGAAATAAAATTTGAGATTATTTGTTATGTTCTTACAAACTTATCAAACCGAACCGAACCCAAATATAAAAATAACCAAAACAGTAGTAGATCCCTAAACCGAAATGCCCGAAACCAGATATCCGAATTTCCAACCTTAGATATATAAGAATTTAACAATGTTTTTCAAAGTTCTTCTTATTAAGGCACTTTCCACTAGTTTAGTTTCTTTCCGGAAGAAGCCCACAAACTAACAAGGTTTGCAACAAAGACCTCTCTTCTACTCATTATCACCGAACTATGATCAGTTCCGGTTATAACCTCAACTTCAACCTCAGGGAACTTGGCTTTCATGTTCCAAAGACAATCAATAGGAACCACATCATCTTTATCCCCTTGCACCACACTGATTCTAACACCAGAATTTATCAAACTTTCAAGGTGTTTATCCGTGAACTTCGCTCCTCCACATAACACATTGTGCATACTGTGCCACGATGACTGATGAGTGTGCTTGGTCAATTCAGTTATCGCCATTGGTAGTTTACTAAACATCGAAAAAACAGAACGTTTCAAAATTTGTAACGTAAGAATCAAACAATAGTATTTACTCATATTTATTATACCTTCTCCAAGTTATAATTTTGATGATCTTCTCCCATGTACGGTGATGCTTACAAACAACGAAACAAACGCCACGTGCAATGTGTTCGTACCAAGCCATCATGGCTGAGAAAAACGACGTCGGTGGCCAAAGTTTCTTCTCCGCGATCACATCAAGAGCATCACAACTTGCTCCTTCTTTATCACCAAAGTAGGGCTAAATCCAAAAAAAAAATGTTAGAAACGTGTTTGTAAAATGAATCAGTTTTTTTATAATCTAAGAAACTCACCGGAGCTACTAATGCTACGGACTTGACACTGCCCGAGAATTTGGCAGCTAAGGCTATTGCAACGATGCATCCCATAGAGTGTGCTACAACGTGGAATGAAGTCAAATTATTTGGTAAAATAACCGATTTCTCTATCATTTCAACATGTTCATTCAACGAATATCGACAGTCTCTAGGTTTTGGACTGTCACCAAACCCTAGAACATCGACCGCGAAGAATCTGTAGTTAGTTTTCTCAGTGGTCTCGGGTAGATATTTGAACACTGTGTTGGTCCAATACGATGAAGATGCTAAGAATCCGTGTATGAATATAACGTTCTCTACCGGTTTGTTGCTCATCAATAAATCTGATAAAATGAGAAAAACAAGTATGATTTAAACGTTGAAAACAAATCTTTAACCTAAATGATGAAGTTTAAAATTAAATACCAATTACCTGGAGATAGTGAAGGTTGCTTGACGATCACGTTAAGTTTATCGTTGCTGGTCCAAGAAACACAATTCTTGCAACCACAATCAGACCACCGGTTTGCAACCTGAGGGACTTTCTCCATTTTCTTTGGAAAAAGGAAGTTTCTCAAGAAAGTAGCGATACCGATTTTCTTGGTGATCTCAGGGAGTTTTCTGGCTAACCGGAGAAAACCGGCTTGACGGAATATGTTTCTCCTCCGGTAAAGAGTCTCGGACAAGTGTTGATGGTCTGAAAGAAACTCGTATCCGGAGGAGTCTGCTGTCTCCTGAGGGTTATTACAGTGACATGACTCAAGTTTTTCTTCCATAATTTGGTCGAGGAATCTGAAAACGATGCAGAGAAAGTTGTCGAGGAGATCAAAAAGGAAAAAGACAGCTTTACTCGGAGCTCCGTTGATTAGTGAAATGCAGTTTTCTTGGAAAGTTGAAGCCATCGTCGTAGCTACCTTTTGAGCGAGAAAGAGACAAAGAAACTGGTGACTTGGTGAGTGGTGAATGAAAAACATCTCTTAACACAGCTTTTTATAGACTTCAATAAAATGTTAATTAATCAAAAGAAAATTGTATATTGTTAAGAAATGAAGATGGTGGTTGGGACATATCCGGAAATGGACCAGACCACATCAGTACCATACCAGGCGGCCAAGCATCAGTCACTATCCTCCCTTGTATTTATCCATATGTTGTAGTTATCCTAATCATTATAGGATTAGGATAATCATCCCCTTTATTGTTGTAATCCTTATCTCCTAAGGAATATGCTT